GGCGTTGCCCGATTTAAGGGCTATCCGCTGCCGCCAACAGCAACGAAGCCAGTTTTGCGGGTTTTGGATCCGGAGCCAGGGAGGAGGTTGGTTTTAGGTATTCATGTGGATGATGGCCTAGGGGGTGGGGATTCCTACTTCAAGATGGTTGGCGGGTGTATGCCACGGATGCGGCCATCATCTTGTCCTTGGAGAAAAGCTGTGGAAATATCAAAGTTAACCAGCTTCCACTTATTAGCCGCTACCTTTCGGAGGATAAGCTGACGAGCATCTTTCCCCAGGGTCGGCGCATCATTAGGTATCTCCCCTAAACCAGGATCTTCGAACCCCAACACCACCAACCTTGCCTTAGCCCGGCGTGGCCCCCCGGTCTGTTCTGGGGCCTTCCATGTGAGAATCCACCGACAACGGAGGAGTTGCTCATCTGCTAAAGTTCCTGCCGCTACACGACGCACAGTCTGGTGACTTAGCCAAGCTCCAACTTCTTTGCCCTTAGCTTTCACGAACTGCTCCTGCTCATCACTTGACAGGTGCCTCATCTTAACTTCTACCCGCTTCTTCCTTTCAGGGGTAGCTAACATGACATACTCAAGTGCTTGCTGAGCAGACGGAAGGTTGGCTGCGTCAACCTGGGTCTCGTGCAAAGTCATTTCCCAGACCTGTCCTTTGTCTGGAAAAGCAAGAAAACATTCAGTGTCTCCAAAAAGGAGATCATCATCCCCTTCCTCAGGGACCGGTGTTTCATGCACTTCGAGGCGCCCAGCGCCTTCCATGAGAACATCCGGAGCTGCCAGTTCCGGTTGTGCCCCATCTTCACCAGAATTACCCAAAGCGTCTGGACTATACTCAAGAACATCAGGATCTGGGGGCGGACCCGGAACGTGAACTTCTCCAAGAGCTGGCCCTGCCGGGCCTGTGACGGGTCCCATGGAAACATCCCCTTCTCGATCGACCTCTTCCTGCAAAGGAAAACCCCCATTACCCAGTAAATCGACCACATTTCTTATCCCAGGATATGAACCATTAGACCCGGACTCTCGGAGGCTTCCCGCAGTGGGATGCTGACTGGCAATGGTATGCCGTTCTCTCATGGAGGCTGATCTTATTTGTTCGGGCGAAGCATGGATTAGCTGACCCCAATGACTATCCATACCACCTTACGACCCTCACTGCATATGACCTGTCCCGGCCCATGCCACCGTCCTCTGCCTCTGCTACCGCCTCCCTTTTGAACTCGCCAATATAAACTCCAATCGCCGGCTTCAAATCCCTGGCAAACGGGTCGTGACCGCCTTAGCAGTGCTCTTCGGTAAGAGTTGTCGTTATCGGGTTTCACAAATGCACTCCTAGCCTGTTCCCTCCTCTGGAGGCTTCTGCGAAAAGCAAGGCCCTCCGGACACTCGCTTGTGGCGAGTGGGTGGGCAGTGGCATCCTCGTCTGAGGTGATGGATCCAGGGAGCCTAGACATTTTCCCAAAGACCGCTTGCTCGCGGGTATATCCCCGCGCCCGGCTTAGGCTATTTTTGGCCCATACGGCCTAACGCAAACACAGCCTAAACTCTTGCTCATCCCCGATTTCATGCTCCGAATCCATGCGGCTCAGAATCTCTTTGAGGATTTTGCCGTGGGATTCTACACGACCAAGTTGCCAGTGCGACTCAGCTGCGCTCACCTTTGATTTAATGTTCTCCTTCTGTAACTGAGCCCGCCAATACTCTGAAGTATATTCCCCAGCTGGAAGTCCAATTGGTTGCATCTAACCCTTTGTGGATTGCAACTGACCCTTTAGATTTTGGATCAAAAACCCGCTTCAGCTCCAGCGACCAATGATGTTGGTTGGTCTGTGACACAGCAAAAAGGCTTACTCTCGTCATGTCGTCAGCTTTCGATATTGGAGGCCAAATGAGTGTGGTTGGTCTGTGACACAGCAAAAAAAGGCTTGCTCTTGTCATGTCGTCAGCTTTCGATATTGGAGGCCAAATGAGCGTGGTTGGTCTGTGACACAGCAAAAAAGGCTTGCTCTTGTCACGTCGTCAGCTTTCGATATTGGAGGTCAAATGATTGTGGTTGGTCTGTGACACAGCAAAAAGGCTTGCTCTTGTCATGTCGTCAGCTTTCGATATTGGAGGGCAAATCATTGTGGTTGGTCTGTGACACATCAAAAAGGCTTGCTCTTGTCATGTCGTCAGCTTTCGAGATTGGAGGTCAATGATTGTGATTGGTTTGTGACACAGCAAAAAGGCTGGCGCCTGTCATGTCGTCAGCTTTCGAAATGGGAGGGATTTTTATGTAGCTGCTACGAGAGGGTTGAAATTTCTAATTGTATTGTATAAGTTGCAAGTTGCATGGTTGAAAGGTTTTTGTTGTCTTATGAAGAAATTGCATGCCAAGTACGCAGACACAGGGGCCCAAGGATGAATGCAACAAATCCAAAGAGTATTTTTCATCCTTGTGACATCTTCAAATTTGTGGATATGAGTGGGCAGGGCAAGCCAATAACATTGTTGTAAGAGGGTTCCCAGTTGAATATATTTCTGAAGATGGTTCTGCCATCATCATGGATCTGTCCAATGCAGTTCGAGCAGCTTTACAACCCGTGTCTGCTGCTTCTGGTGGAATTGAGCAACGGGCCAGATTTCTGCAAAATCATGGACCCGTGAGACTGCAGAGCAAGGAGGCATCATGTGGAGATCCTGTGAGACAAAAATTTCTTGCCAATCTTGGCCTGGGCAAGAGTCCAGCTTCTGGAAGCAAGGATCCTCCCAAACGCAAGGTGGGTTTCTCACTTGAAGCTTTGCGGCGCGTAAGTGATTCTGTGACTCTTGGGCAGCACTTGCTCGCATGTCTTGCGCTAAAAATTCCCACGTGGCACACCAGAGACTTAGGAGGGCCCGGAAGCCCAACAAGAAGGTTTCCTCGGCAAAGACCCCCCGGCCCCATTATGATTGTCGGAAACGACATGCACTTGCTGCTGCTGCTGCTGCGAATCTGAAGAAGCGTTCGTTACCTGGATTGCATTCCAAAACTACATGTTCATATTTCAGATTTGTAGTTGTTGATTGCTGTTGGGCTGTGCATTAAGGTGTCGACACAAAGCCCTGCGTCCAAGCAGACTGCATGATTTGCTTCATGGGGATGGTACATGTCGATGCACCAGGAAATCCTGCTTTACAAGGTTGCGCCCGCATTTCGATGCTGTGCAAGATTTTGTGCGGGGGTTCTACAGTTTGGAGAAGTTCGATCAAGACGAGTTTGTGCCTAGACATGTTCCAAGGAATCCTCTATGAATGAAGCGGTTCATTCATGATGGGGGCCCTAGTTTGCGTCCAAATTCCCTGTTCATGCTCAGTTGCGGCAGCTGAATTGTGATGACGGGGAGAACAAGAAGCGCAGGACACGAATGACTTACGAAATGATGGGTGTAGAAGTGGGACGCACATGTGCAGCAATTGTACTCGGCGTTGGACAAAAACGCCTTGCTCGAGCTATGAACGGCTCTTTGGACATGAGGCTTTCGCAAACTGGCGGTGGGGTTCGTTTGTGCCCAAAGTCTGCAACTGTGGACAAGTTTTTGTTCGATCTTCATGGCTCTATCGCAGAGACTTTGCGCACTGAGTTTCTGAGATGCATGTTGCTAGTTGGTCATATTTCCTCTGGTGTTGTAAGCCTTTGAAACCCTGAAATATCATCATGTTTCCTCAGGTTTCTTCGCCCGAATCAAGATCGCCGGAAACCGAAATCTTGCAGAGGTCAATTGCAAATGGTGTGTTGTCTTGGGCCAGCCGGTCTCAATGCTTCAGATCTCGAATTAGAGAGTGATTCGGATGCAGAAGCTTTCAATGATGGTCTGCTCCTCTTGCCTGCGGAAGAGCTTCAGAATGATTTGAGTCTTGCTCAAGAAGTGGAGATGGATCATCAACTTTGGAGCAAGTACCTTGACCCTTAATAAGTGGAGCTTGAAGACATTTTGGGTACTGCCTGCAAATCTCACCCGACCAGGCACATTGGGACAACCTTTGGCCAGGCGATTGAGAAATTGCCTCGACGATGGCTACCGCCAGGCAATGTGATGGATCTTTACCGCCATTACAAGATTACTTTGGGTGAGGACAAGGCCGCTTCGTGCCTGGGACAGATAGAGTATTCCTTTTGGAGACTTTCAGTTTGGCAAGCTAAGGTACAGCCAGTTCTTGGAACGATATCAAAAAAAGTGGGCGAATTGTCTACCTTTCCGGAGCCATTCCAATTTCGCGAAGTGCGACAGGTGCCATGAACTCAAGCAGGGCATGCGGCATGCTCATGAACCTTGCTCAAATTTCAGTTTGCTCAACTTTGACTTGGTTGCAAGCTACCAGTTTTCAGTGTTTGTGCCAGTGGCCTGCCCAGGAACTCGAGAAGAAGATGGAATTCATTCACCAGTTCAAGCAGCACATGGAGGACATTCAACGAGAGCGTTCTCTACAGGAGCTTCTGGAATCCGAGAACCTTGAAACAGGTGGACGTCCCATCTTGTTTGTCCAGACTGACGGGATGGATCAGGCTAAGTGGGCATTGCCACGCTGGGGGACAGACCGTCCTGGCAAGCATGCCTCTGGTATAGTCAGGCTGTGAGGGGAGTAGGGTTGTTATCTCCGCATCAGTTGGCTGAAATCCTGCCAGGCCACGCCTGAAGGTTCAAGGCCTTTGGCTTCAAAGCGTTGGGCTGATGATGTTCATCGGAGATGTACATCTTGCGCATGACTCCAGCATGACAGTTGAGGCTGCTTGCGCTGCATGATCTGTTCAGTTGTTGTGCTAACATGACAGATGAAAATGAGCCAAGGTTTTGGCGCAAGGTTTGGAGCGCTGTGTGCAGATTTGTGCCGAACGTGGCATAGATATGCCGCGAGAGATACTGATTTGGGCCACTGGGTTTATTGGGAGAGTTGATCATGTCATGTGTATGCTAGCGATGCTCAGGTTGATAATACGACTCGAGAGAATAAAAATGCCTGCGTGCTTGGTTATCTCGGCTACCTCGTCGCTTCTTGCTCCTTCCAGGTGGCTGGCATGATCAACGCCCGGGTGGGGCACACCCACAATAGATTAGGAGCCTCAGCTCATGTCAGTTTGTTCCATGTACTGGTAGCAGTAGTTATTGAAAACCAAGATGCCATCTACGGCATTGTCGCATCCGCGATGCGCTATGTCACGGACTTGTGGGATCCTGAAGATGTACGAGAGCACCCTGTCACCCCACTAATTAGCTGGCACTATCTGTCTTTCAGAGACCTTGCGCCCATCCTGTACCCAACAACTTCGTCTCAGGAAACTCCTACGGATTCTGCATGACCTCAACATCCAGAATTGGATTGGACCGGAAGCCTTTATACATGTGGAGGTTCTGAATTCCGTGAGGGACTGGAAAGGCTGGCTACTTGCTTCAGATCGGTTTTTGACATTGGGCCTCCAAAGTCTAGGGTAAGGGATTTTAGGAGGTTAGGGTTTTGGGGGTTTAGGGTAAGGGATTTTAGGACTTTAGGGTTTTGAGGTTTAGGGTAAGGGATTTTAGGAATTTAGGGTATTGGGGGTTTAGGGTAAGGGATTTTAGGAATTTAGGGTTTTGGGAATTTAGGGTTTAGGGGCTGAGCGCTGCAAGCATTTGCTTCGTACTTGGCGTGACAAATCCCCCAGACCCGAAACCCTAACCTAATCCCTAGAAACCCCAAACCTTAAATTCCAGGGTCTACATTTCAAACTTGCGGGCCCGGGCTCAGCTTAGGGTTTAGGAGTTCAGGGCTTCAATCAGCATCAGAGATGGGAGATTTTTGTCACTCGCGGGCACTCAGCAAGCCAGCCAGCCGTAGCCTGATTCGGAAGGAAAACTCGTTGACTTCCGTCAGATTCAGGATGGGCCCTAGAAGCTTGGGATCCCCATTATTATCCCCAGAAAGCCCCTATAGGCTTAAGGGTCCCACACTTATATGAGCCATAGTCTAAACTCCTTAAAGGGGGTTATATAAGGAATTCTATAGGGGGCTACCATAGGGTTTACTAAGAGGGATAGTAGGAGTTTACACTATGGCTCATCTGTAATGGGTTTTGATGAGTTTTCTGAGGTAGGTCCAACCGGTGCTGAAGTCTGGAGCTTGTTTTGACATGAAGCCTTCATGCCTGCAGTTTGCCTAGAACTGAGTTCTCTCTATCAGGAGTGAAGCCTCTGAAGAACCATTTGCTTTCAGGGGTGGCAGACTTAAGCTTCAATATGTCCCCAGGATAATCTTCTGAAGAAATCGGCCTGCAACCTTTTCGATTTCCTTAAGACTCGTTCACCGAATCCGAAGTCTGTATCAAGGAGAGGCCCCACGACCCCTTTATTCAAGCCTTCTGATCAGCACTTCACGAAGCAGAGGCCCCGTGACCCCTTGATTAAAGCCTTCTGATCAGCACTTCACGAAGCAGAGGCCCCACAACCCCTTTAGCTGAGCCTTCTGAATTGGTGCATGCGATCTTGTTGCCCAAGAAAACCCTAAACCCTAAATCCCAATAAGCTTCAACGGCTGAAGTACTGCGAGAACCAGAGGCCCCACGACCCCTTTAGCGAATTATTTCCGGCCTCCAAAGCGTGTCTGCGCGACCATACCACCTTGTTGCCGCAATCCTGAGTTATGAAGCATGACGATTGATTTCATGGTGAGTGAATGGTGCTCTCCAGCCAGAGCAATGAGAATCGAATACCAAAATGGTGTCGGCCATTACATGACTGCGCGGGCGTGCAATCTGCTTCCAAGGAGAGCGAAGCATTGGCATGTGAACTGCGATTTGGCCATGGTAGATTGCTGAAGTCTTATATGCTAGCCAGGGGTCAGCCAGCGTCATAGCAAAGAGTCCAGGCGATCCACTTTCCAAGGCGCCCATGTGCCGCGTGTGATTCCTTGCAGGTAAGCGCGTGTGCTCTGGTCTGGGGTATGGGCTTTATGGTTGGGCCGTTGGGCCTGGGGTATCTTGCAGGAGATCTGCTATAATTGGGGTTAATGGTAAATGTGTTCCATGATCAGGACACGCGAACTCAATCTTGCACAGCGTGGGCCTCACGCGACATTCCCCCAACTAAAGAAATAAGCTAAGGGATCCCCAGTGCTAACAAACGGCTGAACAATCTTTTTTAAGGTAGTTGGGTGGCACCTGGAAAAGGTAGTACCCCTCTAGAACTAGATGGCTTTCATGTGCCTTCTGCGGAGCATGATCTGGGTTCGAGATATCCACATGGTCTAGGGTTAAGGTTTAAGGGTCGACAATTTTGCTGGGAGATACTATGTACACAGTTCATGAACAGCTCACTTGCAACCGTGATTGTCTGTGCTTGAGACGCGTGCTTGAGACGCCAGGATCATATTAGGGATTTCATGGAACCTTCCGCGATCATGTGGGTTCATGTTGTGCGCAGAACGGCGATCATATGGACTCATGTTGCACGCTCCCCTCCCTTTGAGAGGAATAAAGGAGAGGCTATTTGGGTTCCTATATTCAATCATTTCAATTTAGGGTTTGGGGGTCTAAGGTTACAGTAGCCACTTGGAGCCGCAGCCCAGGTTAGCCAAGCTTGGCGTGAAGATGTCTGGCGGATTGTTGGACACCTCCGATGGCCTCCACTCATTTATCTTTATGAGGAGAAGGGGAGACTTGGATTCCTTTAAACATGAGAGTGCCTGCTGAAGACTGTTCTTGTTTCATGGGGCTTGCGGTGCTAAGATATTCCAGTTCACCTGAAGATCACTACTTCTGCTCTCCGCGGTCTTGAAGTTCGGAGTGATCCCAATGATGCTATCTGTGTGACAAAACGCTACTGCTGCGACAATCATGCGAGCCAACCGCCTGTGTTGGCCTTGCCTGTCAGTTTCTTGGAGCGCCTGGAAACACCGATTCCCATGTCTGCCCGCCCAAACAAAGAAACACCTGCCAGCCGCAGAGCGTCGTGGTTGGAACTTGCAGAGATCATGGCCAGATCGCCGAGGCTAACCCCTGAAGTTTTGCGTGGCGTTCGATACCTTTCGCGATTGGGGGCTGGAGAGGCCCCAAGGGTTGCTTTGAAGCCGTTGCCATGGCATTCGACCCCAAAGGGAGATGATCAAGTGCTGGGGCTTGACAGCCTCAGAAGCTTCCCGGTTCTCCTTCCAGTTGCAACCTTCAAGGCACAGTTGCGCCGATAGCTCAACTCAAAAAGGGCAGGTGCTTCTGCGTTCCATTCATTACCAGCTGCCACCATTTCTTGACACAAGATTTGATTCCTGAGCTCAGGCCCAGGCTTGTCATGAGTACCCATTTCATGAAGGGCTTAATCTTCGGGATCTCATCATAATGGGAAGAAAAATTACTTGAAGTCCAAAGCCTGTGCCACATGTCAGCAATGGAGTTGCAGGGAAGTTCCAGGACAGACCCACACAATGTACGAGCTCTGAAGCCAAAACATCCCTTCAATTGGTCCAGCCAGGACTGAGCAGACCGGCCTCAGCTTGAAATCCGTTGTCGCCCGCTTGGCCCAGCAGCCATCGAGGAAGCGGAAGCCCGAGCCTACCCAGGACCAGTCTTTTGCACATTTAGGCTATGAAGAGAGCACGCATAGCTTCTTGCTTCAAGTTGATTCCTTCAAGCATTTCTTGTCCACAGCCATTCCTGCTTTTAGTGTCTTGTAGCTTGTAGGCTGAGAATGACAAAGGCAACCCCCAAACCCAAGCACAGGGATAAGCCTGCACGGTTTGCAACCCAGTTTAGGGTTTAGGGTTTAGGGTTTAGAGTTTAGGGTTTAGGGTTAAGGTGAAGATGGCGCAGTTTTTAAATTACATGTAGACCGTGCTACTAGGCACGACTGTCTCTGCACGCTGGACTAAAAGAAGTTGTGCCTGCTCAGCTCACCACATCACGATCAGATAGTCAAAAGTCTAAGAAACTTCTTGCAGGATCCAAGCGGGAAGCGCTCCACGATCAACTTGGGCGATGCTTTGACGCACATTCGAGCTTCAAGTCAAGCAAGACCAGGATTTCGAACAGCTGCTGAACAATATCAGTGGGCCCCACGGTAGCTTGGAACATCACAGTGTGTAATCACAAACATGTTACTTTGGAGCTTGACAATCCATGCTCCTAGCATCTGAGGTTTATGAGCCTGGCAATGGAGAGGTGGGGCAAGAACTTCGTGCTGAAGAAATTGGAGAAGCTGGATTGGCAGCTATCAACAACGTTCTCAGGTATTGGATGCCTGGAGAGTGCCGCCCTTTCGGAGCCTTGCTTGTAGAAAACCTGTCACGCTACTTAGGGAAGATCCTGATAGTGCAGTGTCAGTCAGACACCGTCAGGTATCTGAGCATGCCCGAGCCCTTCTTCGTGCCAACGGCAAGAGTGATGCTGCCAACATCGAGCTCCGGTCTGTCACTGACGTTGATCGCAGATCCCAGCGTGCCCTTTGCCAAATCTTCCCCGGACGGTGCGTGTTCCCCACTCAGCTTACCATATGTATGCCTCTTGAATTTTTGAAGCCTGGATAGGAGCTCTCTTCTAAGGCACACACTTAATGCAGTTTGGGTTTCAGGGCTTTAGATTTAACATTCATTGACACGGGTTAGGGATGCATCGGGCTACCTTGTAGGCTTGCCTACGAGAAGGTACAGAAGTTTTCGGGGTTAAGGGATTATTGGTTAGTTCGAATGGGGTAGGGTTGCGCCAGGTTACTGTATAGGTTTGCCAAGAGGCCATGTTGAGCAGTGCTTTGCAAGGACCCCGTCTTTAAGGCGTTCAAAAGGG